GGGGGGGGGGGGGGGGGGAAGAGAGGAACAACGTCATGCGAGTTTTTAATAATCCGCCGAATTAACATCTTAATCCGTTTAAAGCAAAGCTGCTTTTTGCGCCGATCCGACCCGTAGCGGTATTTCATGCACTAAAATGCAAATTCGCGCACGTCCATTAAACGGCGAAATAAATTTCGGGGGTTTTTCGGTAAGGAAGAAACGGTTGACCTGCTTTTCGAGGCCATGACACACAGCGCCGTTAAACCGGGGTTTAATCAATGGGCGCGCCATGTTGCATATATATATGTATATATATATATATACACATATATACACATAGCATACGTACGGTACGGTACGTACGTACAGGGTGGAGCAGACATCGCGTATTCGGTGGCTACAGAGAGGCGGAATTGACGTTTTCCAATTTTTCCCGACGTCCGCTTACAAATCTCATTCGGCGTTGCGCGTCTCGTGCGTCGCGGTTTCCCGAATCAAACTACCGGGGCGGGGAAACTAATGTTCGGTTCGCCGTTAATCGGCGGATCCGCCCGCGGAACCGACTCGCCGGAGAAACCGCACGCGCAGGAGATTTCTTTCGGCGTCAGCAGCGCGCGGAGCACTCGGAAAGTGCGCGTGAAATTTCGCTTCAGCGACAATACGAGGTTCTTCCCCGGCCGATCCCTTCGATTCCTCGTTCTGCTCGGGCCACCATTACATAATATCGCGCGTAGGTACGAGTGATCTCGCGAATTATCGCATTGCTTCGGATCTGCCGGCGATACTTCGCGGGCAAAAGTTCGCTGTCGCCTATTTCAATAACGCGACAAACCGCGAACTATCGGAATCGCATTAATCTGCGGCCGGGGCCAGCGGAGAGATTGTTGAAATTGCGCCTCTCGCGCGCGTCTTACACAGTCGGGAGATTAGGCGGCACCGACGGTAGTTCTCTTTTCGCCACGGCATTTTCCCCGGGCGAAATTAACGGCCACCGTAGCGCCGCGCTCTTCTCGACCGAATTTATCAGCGCCATTAGCGCGCGTCATATCGCCGATGTGAAGCTGAATTCGCGCCCTTTTCCTCGTCCGAAAGTCGAAATTTTCGCGCCAGCTTGAAGGGCGGTTCGCGTCCACACTGATAGAAAATTATAGTCGGTTACTTTCGGTGCCAACTATATTTTATAGCAGTGGCAACGCGTATGTAAGGTTATCATCGCAGATACTACACTAACATTTACTAGAAAGACGCTTCTCCTAATTGTTTTTATGATTGAGAGCAAAATGTGTGGATATGGTCGAAAATAACTATAATTTTCTATCGGTGTACCCAGTTGACCTACACGGGGAAAATATTGTAGTGGAAATTACTACAAACTTTTATAATTCCGGAATGTGCCGGGATTATTATCGAAATTACTACGTGTGCTGTAATCTTTGATGACGAATATTATGTACACATCGTTAAAGATTACAACGCAGACAGAGGAAAAGAAGGATGAGGAATGGGAATTTTGATAATAATCCCGGTATATTTCAGTATTACGAATAGTGTCGCAGTATATTTCGAAGTTACAAAGGTTTGTAATAATTTTCGCTACAACTTTTCTACACGCATCGACTAATAAAAATCTATTTTGACGATATTGACACTTTTCGACCTCTCTCTCGAACCTTTGATTCTATGCGGGGAAAAAAGTCTGATTGTATTAACAAGAAAAGGAAGAAGCAGATTTATAATGAACGAAGGAAACCGAATTTCCGGTTGTAAGAACCACATTTGGGTCATAAGAACCCAAAAATTCCGTTTCCATCAACCAGAACGCTGGTTGTTCCCTTTCTGATTAATACAGACTTTCCTTCGTGTACAGATTGAATTTTAACGCTATCTTCGGCAACCCATCTTCGCTAAAACAACGAAGACAGAAGTTTCAGACATCACTAGGACCAAAGTAGGAATTATATTATTAGAATTGAGACTGAGCCTATTTTGTTATTTCAGTTTCTGCCATATATTGCAAGATTAACGGTTTAACATCGGCAAAATTTCGACTCGGACTTGGAAAGCTTCATTTTGCGATTTCCTTCGACGCACCGGGCGTATCCACGATTCTTGATCACGTGTATAAAATGTGTATTAACATTGCGTATATTTCTTCCAGCAACGCAACATTTGCGCATCGACCAGTCGACGCAACATGTGTGAATATACGTTCGCGCATACGAACACGTTTATAACAGGTTTATTAATATTAAGCGTGAGCGCGTTCATGCGAGAAAACTGCGCGCTATATAATTGACGTGATATCGGCGAAGAGGTAGATCTTTGTTTAACCGGCGGGAATTAAATATAATAATCGATCGGCATGAAACGGTAATGAATCACACGCACGTTACCGAGCCGCGGTTTCGACGACGCGTGTGCGTGACACGGCGATATCGCGCGATTTACACGAGTATACTCGGTGTGGCAACGAACGCGTCTCCTCGAAGAAGAGAGACTTCGAGCGGTTTCGGTGGGTCTCGTTATATCGGTTACGTGAGATTTTATATCACACAGATCGTTTGAAGGTGAAACGGGAGGAGAGTATCTTCCCCCTTTCTCCTCCAGAGAGAGAGAGAGAGAGAGGAGCGGGGAAAAACGGAGAGGGGAAAAGACGGGCGATGCGCGCGTTTGAAGTCGGGCTCTCACGGGGGTTCGGGACGAGGGTGAACGGGATGCGGAAGACGAGGAGGAGGGTGCGAAGAGGGATGAGAAGGACGTCGACGCACGTACCTTATCGAGATCTATCTCTTCCTGGGAATTGAGTCGCATGCAGTTGAGAGTGAGGGAGTCCGTATCGATGGCATTATCGCCTCTGCTCAGGCCGGCGAATACCAACACCAACACGCACCACTTCATCGTTCACGTCGGCCGCAATTAATTAAGCGCGATCCTAGAAACCCCAATTACAAGGGGCAATTAATACAGCGGATCCCGGCGCGCGTTCTCGCGCGCCCACGCCGAAGGATTTCCACTCGGAACTCTCTCGGAGAATTTCTCTCTCGAATCGTTTCGTCGTGGACCGGACGTCGTCGCTCTACCCCGACGCTCCACGACGTTGGCTTGGACGAGGCTCGGGCATACCACCCTCTAGCGAGACGCGGCTCTCGCGGGCGCTCGAGAGCGGAGTCCGAGTGGCTGGTTCTCGCGGTGACGCGTCGACGCGTTCGTCTCCTCCTCAGAGCGACGATACCGCATCTCCCGGCAACGGCGGCATCACCGCAAGCGCGCGGTTGCTCTCGTCACACTGCTCTCTCTCTCTCTCTCGCGCGCGACAATCGCGCGCGCGGAGTCAATCGGCCGAGTCAACGTCGCTCTTTCTCTCTCTTCCCTTCCGCTCTCCCTCTCGCTCGCTCCTTACTTCGCCGCCCGTCCCGTTCGCCAAGCTGAGGCCCTTTAATTGAACGTCCAACGCGTCCACAGTCCGCGTCCCCGCTCCGTCGCTCTCCCGATGATCGATGCCTCAGCGCATCGCGCTCGATCGCGCTCCCGGTTCTCCAGTGGCCGCGCGACGAACAACGGCGGGATCGTCGCCCCCGTCGAACGGCTCCTCTCGGGTCCCACTGGCGATGTTCACCCCTCCCCCGCGGCGAAGAGCCACCCGAGCGAGTCCGGGGAGGAAGAGCGCCGAGCGGAAGCGAGCGGAAACGCGCTGACGGCCTTCACGAGCGTCGTCTCTTCCGGATGTCCATTCCAGAGCGACGCGGGAGACTCACCACTCACTTGTCGCGCGCTACCTTTTATTCCCGCGGATCGATCGATCTTCACGATGGATCCTCACCGGCGAGACTGCACCAGCGAACTCAGCCCCCGGACGATGTTCCCAGCGTACGTGCTCTTGAGAGGGAGGGAAGAAGAGAAGACGCTCGCCTGTCGGCCGGCAATCGGACGCTCTCGATAATCGAGCCGGGTTCTCCGCCGGATCACGGGAGATGCTCGATTCGAAATTTCACGATGACGTAACAGGGGTAAGAGAGAGAGAGGGCCGAAGTGTTGTCGGCGATGCTCAATTCCCCGTCGAATGAAGCTGAGACTCTCTCTCTATCTCTCTCTCTTGGTCCGCACCGTCGTTTTCAATTTCCGCTCTCCCGCCGGTTCTCCTGACTGCGAACGAGCGAACCCCCGAACGGGGTATCTCACTGGCGCATTCACCGGGCGTCACGAAACAACGGGAACGGCGCAACGTGTTGCTCTCGTGGGTAATCGACGAAACGAGGATACCCGCGTTATCCCGCCAGCCGACGAGCCGGAGAGAGGGATGCGTGCGCGACCAAGTCGGAGAGCACTCTGACGTTCCCAGTCCGCCGCGCTGGTCCTCGCTCGCTACGTACGTCCGTCCGTCCGTCCGACCGACCGACCGACCTCCGTCGCGACGCCGGAATGAGCGAACGGAGAGAGAAACGGCGGGGTAGTGGGGGATAACGGCGGATAAGGACGGGTTACGAAAGAACGACCGCGACAGAACCGCGGACAAATCGCCGGGGAATCTCCAAAAACGGGTCTAATAAACGGGGGTGGTAATCGGGGACAGGCTGTCATTTCCCGCGTCGACGCGCCACGACGATCGGCCGGGTCGACCCACCGCGATCCCTACGATTTGGGGAATTCGACGGGTGTTCAGAGAATTACGAGAGAATAAGAGAGAGATAGGCGGATTAAGCGGATAAATACATACGTTGATTTATTTTCGATGTGCGGAGCTTAGCTCTCTAAGGAAGGAAATTTGAAATATTAATTGTTAATGTAAGATTAATGTTAGATTCAAAGTGGCGATTATTAACAGTGAAATTAAGGTCGGATGATAATCTATTGATCATTTTGGTTAAAACTCGTTGTTGTTATAGTTTTGTGCACGAATCAGGCTGGTAATCAGGTTTCCCACACTAATACGTTTCCATACTTTTCCAAGATAATACAACATTTTTGTTTATTCTCATCAAGTGTACAGCCGATGATCTCTAAAGTGTTTTTTTAGAAAATAAGGAAATTGCTTGCAATCCTTCGAAGATATTGGAGATTTAATTTCTAGTTTTTGTTCCTTGTATGAAAAATTTTCAATTATATTCCACGGTCTAGTCGTTGAAACAGCAAAATAATAAATGAAAGTGCTGTAAATGCTTGTAAGATATGATGGTATAAAAAATATAGATTATAATAATCAAATATAGATTGTAATTTTTTCTAAATTACCGTTTTACCAGCTTCTCAAAATTACCGGATTATTTACCAAGTACCAGCTTCTCAAAATTACCGGATAAGTTACCGTCAGATTAGGTGATTTTAATCTCTAGTTATTGTATACTGAGAGAAAAAAATATCTAGAAAATATTTATTCAATGGAATACCAATAACATTTATTTAAATCCAGTTATTTTTCCTTTCGATAGAATAAACTATCGCTTTTGTAAAAAGCTACGGTTTTAAAAGGAACATATATTTTCTCATTCGAATAAATTCTTTTTTTATTAAAAATCGGCCTATTAGTGTATGTATATTATATTATTATCGCATAATATCATATATTATATTACCGTATAATATGTTATTACCACCCACCGCGAATAAATTTTCGTTATCTTCCACGAATATTTTTTCCCTTAGTATAAATAATACAATCTGCAATAAAAAAAAAAGAACATAGAAGTGTGAAATGTTTTTATATCGCAGCCTTCAAACATTGCTTCTTACATATTTGATGCAAACAACCGAACAAGCGAGCACGAGTTTAGGAATGACAGTTTGCATTTGACAACTTACATGTTATTTAATATTTAAAAGAAAGTAAATAAATAGTTTGGAAGAAAAGTCACAAGTTACAAGATCGAAAAGAATGCTAGGATGTATAAAGTACAGAAAAACGACTTAACGTATAATGGCTCGCATTGTATGCCAGTTTAGATAAAAATTTACATGTAATTCGAGCGTTTAGAGAGAGGGAGACAGAGTGGGAAGGAAAGGGGGTGAAGGAGATACAGTCGTAAAGTTCCGAGTGACAAGCGTTCAGCAAACGGCGCCACTTCGTAAGTCTTTTTACTTGACTCAAACGCGCGAGGGGTGCTACCTCAATTCCTCCCGTACGACTGTGTGGTGTTATTAATTCTCGCCATTTCCGCACGCAACGTTACGAATTCTCCATGGAAAAGCATACTCGGAAATTGTTGCTCTGCACTTAGCGGAACGCGAATGACGTGCTGTCCGTCTTGCTCTCCCGAGAGATCGATCGTTAACTCGACCGTTCTTGTCACAGTCCGTTCGTTTTTGCCGGCTCCGGCGGGTCCCGCAAGTACGTGACATAAATTCTGGTCGATCTTTGAAAAGACGCGAAGCTCGAAGGCAGAAAACAATTATCCACGCATCCTGCGATGCCTGCGCGACTCGATTTTATTCCCATTCGTCGTGATCGGGCGAATCCTACGGATTGGATTCTGCTCGCAGTATTCCAAGTAGAAACAGCCGAACGTGGCGGACGAAAAATTGTCGCAGTTATTGAAACTATATTATTTTAATAAACTAACATCTATTATATCCTTCAAAATTCTCTTGTTTATTCTGTTATTGAATTTTTGTTATTTGATTTTCTGTGATCTAAACGTTATTTTTTTTTTATAATTAAGGTGGAGTTACAAAATCGTACTACTTGAAATATTGTTAAAACGGTTACGTTGCACAGAAAGTACAATGCAATTTATTACAGTTTTAATTGGGTTTTCCATTTTGCTCATTTATTTTTTACTGACCACGGACCTCGCTTATATTCAATAATATTATGGAAGAAAATTATGTAATTATTGGCCTGGCAGCAGCAATCATTGCTATTATCCAGACTTTTGTATGCCTTATTAACTTAATGTGTTATGCATTGATATTTTCCTTTTGCAAGCAATAATTTTTAATAAAATAGAATACAATAGGGTATTAAAATCGACATCAGGAGGATATACCTTTTCGTAGCTCACATTCGCGTTTCTCATATCCCCATTACTCGGGCATTATATAGCTTCACGAATTTTATTATCTCGTAGGTCTCATTAATATAATTATTATAGCGGTATCACTTTTACCATATCGTCGCTCTTATCATTACTCTCGTTACAGTCCGACCGATCGAATTTCTCTAAATGCGTCGTAAAACGCGCACTTTGCCTCCGTAACACCGGAGAAATGTCATGTATCATTAAACTCGTAATGCAATGCTCATTCGTACAATTACCTGATCCAATTTTATCTCACATTTCTCTCTCTGGCATATTTTTTTTCAAATATCGATTTCTCCGGAACACTTTGAAAATTGTATGCTTTTTTCGCTGGCGCGAAATTTCGCTTGTTTCACGAAGAACTACCGTGGCTCGCGTCGAAATTCGATGCACCCGAGCCATCCCGACCAACTCGAACATACCTCATCGAGGTGGCAGCTTTTCGACAAAACAGAGAGGAAAAAAGGAAACGTGACGGTAAACACGCGTCGGCTTATTTGCATCAAACGACTCGTCTTTCAAGTGGCGAAATTTCATCATACCGGATTACTCGTCTAGATAGTGCGCGTTACGCAGCGTTCCGCTACAGCTGAACGCGACGCGTCACTAATGACGTTCGATGCATACAAAGCGCCAGTACTAATCAATACCGAAATTACATTACATCATCGCGGATGATACGTGTATTATATTTATCCCGGTGTAAATATTCAACACGGCGGTCCTGTATTTTGCATTTATCTATTTTGCATGATTCGCACGCGCGAAAATGACGGCCGCCAAGTGATACCGATTTTCCACAAAGAAATTCCTCAAAATTTTCCTAGATACGTAGGCACCAATTGAAAATTTCCATTTTTATCACGATGGAGAATTTCTCCTATATTATATATTATATATTATATTAAACGTAGCTTCTCTGTATATAATCGAAACAGTATAATATCATGGAAATTCGCATTTCCCCGTTTAATAGGTAAAATTAATATGCTTTTGTAATATCATATAGGAAGAATCTTTTTTATATGTATAAAAACCATTGAATTTAATATATATTTAATATATAGAATATATAATATATAAGAATAGTTTAATATAAGAATAACAAAAATAAAAAATAAAGAATAAGAACAACGAAAATAGAATAAAAAATTGATATGCTTAAATTTAAAATACTTTAAGCATTTACGTGTGGATATATTTTTTAAATATTTACAAATATAAAATAAATATACCCAAAATGTTTCATACATTTTATTAAATTCTAATATAAAATAGAAGGCAGAAAAAACTTTGGATATGTATTAAGCAAATCGAATGAATATAAAATAATAACTCATTCTTGTATCGATCTTGATATCGAGATATGTATAATAATATTTATATATTTTTGCTGAGATAGGTAAGGAAAGACAACCGAAACCTTTGGGTAATCAGAGAATAAATAAAAAGAGAAAAAATAAGAGCCAGTATAAGACTACTCTTAATTATTTTTATTTATTCTCGGATTATACATCTTGAGAGCTTCATATTTTATATTTACATTCGTTAACGGGTAATTCTGAAAAGAGACTGTTTGATACTCCATTCCTCTTGTTTTATTTATAGATTAAATGAGTTTCGCAATTTCCATCTTGCGTCGGTTTTTATTGACTGTTTTTATCTCCAGCTGACTGTACATCTGAGAGCCATGATGATTTATTTATTTCTTCGAATGAAATCTGTCTCGTTTCTTTACTTAGAATCGTTTGTCCGGAATATTACACTTCCGACTTTGAATCTGAGCAAATTTCCCGATTTGTACAATTTTTGAAAAACCAAACTGCACCTCAATTAGATCTCAAGAATCTTCCTATAGGGAAACCCGAGGCATAACGAGACGACAGAATATAATGAGATATGGTCGATAACTTTTTACAGATGTTTTTTTACAGAAATTTTTGGAGATGCTGCCGCATAATTAAATATTTTGCAATAATTATTGTAGATGTCTCTTATCGTATATTATTATCAGTTGTCATATTATTTTTAGCTGAAAATTACTAGCTATAAATCATTTAATGCGTTCGCTTTGCTTTCCGCGACTGAGTTGCAATTTCTTTGATTTGTATAAAGTAAGCAATAACGAAATTCTATTTTCTATTATATATACCGTTAATATATCCACGTTATTGAATGATCTTTTTTTGTTACTTTAGTAAAGTATTTGTGCAAATATCGATTACCTGTGATGTTTTATATTATTTAAAGTAAACTTATACATTTCGGGGCATAACGAGAAAATAGAATAGATA